TCCTCCTAACTCAGCCCCCCAAGTTGCTGGTATTATAAGCTTGGGCCAATGAGCTGCCTCTTAGCCAATTTATATATATATATATATATATATATATAAATATATATATATATATAAATATATATATATTTTTTATATATATAAAATATATATATATATATATTTTTTTTTTTTTTTTGAGGCAGGATCTCATTAGGTTGCAAGGCTACCTTGAACTTGTGATCTTTCTGCCTCAGTCTTCCAAGTAGCTGGGATTACAGGCAAGCACCACTGTGCCTGGCTTTGCTTTTTTTTAAACAGAACTTTGTACTACTATTGTAAATTCCTAGGCAACGCTCTGAAGTCTTACAAGTATTTGAGTATACATATTACATATATTCCCTTAAAGAGGGAAGAGCTGAGAAATTTGAACATTTTTTCTGCTCCTCCCCAGACTCTGTTCCAGCCCCAGACAGGTGCCTATCAGACTCTGGCCAAAGAGTGTGTGGCCCAAGGCTGCTGTGTAGACCTCTTTCTCTTCCCTAACCAGTACGTGGATGTGGCCACGCTCTCTGTTGTGCCCCAGCTCACTGGTGGCTCTGTCTACAAATATGCTTGCTTTCAGGTATGGTGTGGAATTCTGGGTGGCATATGGCAGCAGATCTTAGAATGACTGCTTACATATGGAGTGGCTTCTGAGCCGCTGACTCATTAATAGGAATTGTGTTAGAGAGATGTAAAGAAGGGAGCTCTGGAAGGGCAAGGTTAGGAGCAAGGTCTTTGCTGTCAGTACTGGGTTGATACTCTGGCCCCACCACATAATAGCGCTGTTAACACAGGAAAAAATTTATTATCCCTTTTTTTTGTTCTTTCATTTCTAAAATGAAAGAACATTTTAATACTTATTAATTAGGATTTATCCACAGAATGAAATAATCATATGTAAAGCACTCTGTGTGGTACCTGGCATGTAGTCAGTGCTTTAAAAGTATCACTATTATCAATATCATTGTTAATCATCTTCACTGTTATTGTTATTATAATTAAGCAGGCTTGTGGAGTGGAAGGGGTACAGGGAAACTGCAGGGTAAGTTATATGGTTAGTGATATGACTCTGGGCCTGGGCGACTGCAGGTGGAGAATGATCAGGAACGGTTCCTGAGTGACCTGCGTCGTGATGTACAGAAGGTTGTTGGCTTTGATGCTGTGATGCGGGTCCGGACAAGCACTGGTCAGTCCTGGTTTGAAGAGCAGTTGGGGGGTTAAATCTGAGAGGAAAGCGTGTGGCACCTGTCACAACCTTTAGTTGTGACCCTGTCTCTATGTGGCCTCAGGTATCCGTGCTGTAGATTTCTTTGGAGCATTCTACATGAGCAACACAACAGATGTGGAGCTGGCTGGGCTAGATGGGGACAAGACAGTGACTGTGGAGTTCAAGCATGATGATCGGCTTAATGAAGAGAGTGGAGCGCTCCTGCAGGTGGCAAGCGGGAGGCAGGGGCTAGGGAGGAAGTACTAGGTGAGGAGCAGGTAGAAAGATTCAAAGAAGCAGCTGGGGGAGGGTTGGCTTATACCTTTTCTTCTAGTTTAATGATGTAGCAAAGGGACAGTTTTTCAGAGGACTTTTGTGAGGGAGGATGTGAGTTTCCCCTTTTTCTTCCTCTAGTGTGCCCTGCTTTATACCAGTTGTGCAGGGCAGCGTCGGCTCCGCATCCACAATCTGGCCCTGAACTGCTGCACCCTGCTGGCTGATCTGTATCGGAACTGTGAGACTGACACACTTATCAACTACATGGCCAAGTTTGGTGAGGATAGGCATAGGGCAGGATGGGATTGGGGCTGAGAGAAAGGCCCAAGATGGTCAACAATTCAACATTCCTGGGTAGGTCTGATGGTGGGAAGGCTCATATGATGTGGCTGACCAGTAACTGCTATTCCCCCTTCTCCACCCAGCATACCGGGGTGTCCTGAACAGCCCTGTGAAGTCTGTGCGTGACATTCTTATCACACAGTGTGCCCAGATCCTAGCCTGTTACAGAAAGAACTGTGCCAGCCCCTCCTCTGCAGGACAGGTGGGGCAAACATGTCAGTGGAGGGGTTCTTGGGACAAAGTTTAACACTTAGGAGGAATTTTTCATGATCATTAATTTTATTCCAATAACTCCTCAGTTGATCCTTCCTGAGTGCATGAAGCTACTCCCAGTTTATCTGAACTGTGTGTTGAAGAGTGATGTCCTGCAGCCTGGAGCTGAAGTCACTACAGATGACCGTGCCTATGTCCGACAGCTGGTTACCTCCATGGATGTGGCTGAGACAAATGTCTTCTTCTATCCTCGCCTCCTGCCATTGGTGCGATTGAGGATTGGGGTGTGAGACGTAGCACTGAGATAAGGGCCTTGTAGAAGAAGGAATTTTGGGGGGGCTGGGGTTGTGGCTCAGAGGTGCAGCACTTGCCTAACATGCGTGAGGCACTGGGTTCAATCCTTGGCACCACATAAAAATAAAATAAAAGAGGGCTGGGGATATAGCTCAGTTGGTAGAGTGCTTGCCTCACATGCACAAGGTCCTGGGTTCAATCCCCCTTGCCACCAAAAAAAATAATTAATTAATTTAAAAAATTTAAAAAAGGATATTGTGTCCACCTATAACTAAAAAAAAAAAATTAAAAAAAAAAAGGAGGAGGAATTGGGGGTGGGAGAGTAATAGTATCTCTGTTTGATACTAAGGAATTTGTTTTAAGTACATTTCACACTGAGAATTACAGAGTGAGTGGTGTCTAGGGGCTTATCTTTTTGAGTTCTGTGTGTATGTGTGAAGGGGGCAGGTATGTCTTATGTTCCTTGGTAAATTTTTGCCCCCTTCCTTTTGTCTAGACAAAATCTCCCATTGAGAGTACCACTGAACCACCAGCAATCCGAGCATCTGAAGAACGTCTAAGCAATGGCGATATATATTTGTTGGAGAATGGGCTCAACCTCTTCCTCTGGGTGGGAGCCAGTGTTCAACAGGGTGTTGTCCAGAGCCTTTTCAACGTCCCTTCCTTCAGTCAAATCACCAGTGGCTTGGTGAGGACAAGGAGTCATGGAGAATATGGGTGTGGAAATACATTTTGTGGTGTGAGTGGGAGCCAATAAAGTTAGTGTGTGGGGCCCCTTGCATAACAGGGAACACTTATGGGGAAAGGAGGGTACTGTCAATCTTTACTCAGGCTCTCAGTTAATGCATAAATCTGTGTTGCCCCCTTCTTGACTGAATTATGAGTACTTCATCACAAGGAGGAATGGCTTTTGTGTTACAGAGTGTTCTGCCAGTTCTGGATAATCCACTGTCCAAGAAGGTTCGAGGCCTCATTGATAGCTTAAGGGCACAGAGATCACGGTACATGAAGGTAACACTTCTTTGAAGCCTCTTATTTTTCAATTTTTTGTGGTACTAGGGATTGCACCTGGGGAGCTCTACTACTGAACTACATCTCTAGCCTGTTTTATTTTTTATTTTGAGGGTCTCACTGAGTTACTGAGGCTTGCACTGTGAACTTGGAGATCCTCCTGCCTAAGCCTCCCAAGTAAATGGGATTATAGGCATGAACCACCATGCCTGGTTAAACCCTAAATTTCTTGTCAAGTCCTCACCTGGAAGTGGGGTGGGGAGTGAGTGAGTGATTAGATCATGAGATTTCTAGGCATGCTTCATTCCCTTTGACCCTGCATTCTGGCCATAGCTTATCGTGGTGAAACAGGAGGATAAGCTGGAGATGCTGTTCAAGCACTTTCTGGTGGAAGACAAGAGCCTGAGCGGGGGAGCATCCTATGTGGACTTTCTCTGTCATATGCACAAGGAGATTCGGCAGCTACTGAGCTAAAAGCAAATGGGTAAACGGCATAGGGTCCCAGGCCAGCTTCCAGAAAGTATCCCAGGATGGCAGAGAAATTGGGACAGTTCCATATCTTATAAGTCATGTAAGCTGACCTCAGTCTCTTTGGGGGGAGGGGGAGATATAAGGAGACACCTTCTTTCTGGGCTTAAGTAATCCTACCACTCTGTCATGTCCTGCTGATGGAAGGTGCCCCTATCCCCTCACTCTATCCTCCTTTTCCTGCTAATCCTGTCGTAATGAATGTAGTTTTTCATTTTACTGTATATGATTCGGTGTTGGGGGTTTGGAGGCACCCAGACCCTGGCAATATTTTGTCCCTTTGGACCAGCCTCTGAGAGGAGAGGGGCAGGCAGGAAGGAGTGGGGATCCCAGGTTACTACAGGGGGTGGCTAATTCAGCTCAGTGTCATCAACTTCCTATATTAGGGATAACACATACAGATACACAAGAGCTGGGGTACAGACCATAGGTGGTGGAGAGAAAAGTGGTTGGTCCTTCTTGGGCCTGGAGGTCAGCAGCCAAATCACAATTATTGAGGGTGGTTGATTAGCTTTCTCTGCTTCCGCTGTTTGTGTTCTCTCCCTTGCAATGACTGGTGATTACTTCATGGATAGAAGCACGTTGTCAGAGATGAATAAGCCTGGGAATTGAGTTGCAAAATATGTTTTCACCTGGGAGAGGTACCAGCCTCCTTTTCAGCTGGAGAGGCCTCAACACTGGATGGTTCTGTAGGGAGCCTGATCATCAACTTGCAATACCTCACAGAGCCAGCCCACATCCCGCTCACCTTCCACTGGCAACGCAGCTTCTTCAAGCCAGGGGTCGTTGGGGAGAGACAGGTGGCTGAAGCCCTGTGCTCTTTCACCAGGACACCACTTGGGCTTTGGGATTGACTGGCTGACAGTTATCTTCCAACCCCAACTGGCTGGGGCAGGACAAGGGCTAGTATTGAGGGTTAGCCAAGCTTGTCTGCTCCCAGCCTGGGATGCCCCTGCTCTGGACCTCTCATTTCTCTTCATTGGTTTATTTTTCAATGCATCTTTAATTTGTAAAGAAATAAAATAAGATGTAACCAGTAGCCTCATCTTTACTAGCAATGTCTCTTCTGTTACGCTCCTCCGGAGCTGCGCATGCGCCGCGTGCCCCTTTGGCGTAAGACCTCGTCTCGCCGTAGCTTGCCGGCGGGTGGGGTCTTGTGCTGGCCGAGGGCCGCCAGCTGCCAGAATGGACATGGCGGCCGGACGCACCGGAGTTCTGCTGGCTGCCCTTGGTGTGCTTATTGTCTGTGTGGCCAACGGCTCTGGGCCTGTGGCTGAAGGAGAGGCGAGCGGGGAGGTGGAGTGGGTGGAGCCATGGGACGGCGCGGTTTTCCGGCCGCCCTCGGCCCTGGGCGCGGTGGGGGTGGCGCACAGAACCGGGACTCCGCAGCTGGGAAGGCAGGAGACAGCGGACTTGCCGGTGCTGCTCTGGTGGAGCCCTGGACTATTTCCCCATTTCTCAGGCGACTCGGAGCGCATTGAGTGCGCGCGCGGCGCGTGCGTGGCGTCTCGCGACCGACGAATGCGGGGGAACACGCAGACGCGCGCGCTGCTTTTCTACGGCACCGACTTCCGCGCGTCTGACGCGCCGCTGCCGCGCCTGGCACACCAGAGCTGGGCGCTTTTACACGAGGAGTCGCCCCTCAACAACTTCTTGCTGAGCCACGGCCCGGGCATCCGCCTCTTCAATCTTACCGCCACCTTCAGCCGTCACTCGGACTATCCCCTACCACTGCAGTGGCTGCCCGGGACCTCCTATCTGCGCCGCGCGGCGCCTCCTCTCCAGGAGCGTGCTGAGTGGCGCCGTCGCGGCTACGCACCACTACTCTATCTGCAGTCCCACTGCGATGTGCCTGCGGACCGGGACCGCTACGTGCGCGAGCTCATGCGTTACATCCCGGTGGGTGAAGGGGGCATGCGGAAGGGAGGGGGCGGGCCGGGAGGAGCCCAGGAACCGGGAGTCCAGGGCTACAGGCCCAACCCTTCTGACAGCCGTACTCTACTCCGCTCAGGTGGACTCCTACGGCAAATGCCTGCAAAATCGGGAGCTGCCCACCGCGCGGCTTCAGGACACGGCCACAGCCACCACTGAGGACCCAGAGCTCTTGGCTTTCTTGTCCCGCTATAAGTTCCACTTGGCCCTCGAAAATGCCATCTGCAACGACTACATGACAGAAAAACTGTGGCGCCCGATGCATCTGGGTGCTGTTCCAGTGTACCGCGGCTCTCCTTCTGTGAGGGACTGGATGCCGAACAACCACTCCATCATCCTTATTGACGACTTTGAGTCCCCTCAGAAGCTGGCAGAATTTATTGACTTTCTGGATAAGAATGATGAGGAATATATGAAATACTTGGCATATAAGCAACCTGGGGGCATCACCAACCAGTTCCTTCTGGATAGCTTGAAGCAACGGGAGTGGGGAGTGAATGATCCTCTACTGCCTAACTACCTGAACGGCTTCGAGTGCTTCGTTTGTGACCACGAACTGACTCGGCTGGACGCCGTGAAAGCCCATGCAGACTCTCCTGGGGACATCCCTGTCCCTGAGCCTCACATTGCCCAACCCGCTCACATGGACTGCCCAATGCCCAAACCTGGCTTTGGTAACTTGGAAGAGATTCCTGAGAATGACAGGTAAGGTTTGCTGGAGTCCAGTGCAGCTGTCAAATCAAATTGTCTACTTCCTTGCTTACTGTAGTTGGATTTTTCAGGTTTCAGGACAGCCCAAACTCCTGAGTCTGATAGACAGGCTGTTTATAGTCTTGCCTCAGTTTATCTGCCTAACTTTCTTTCTCCCTCATCACTGCCTGTACTGGTTCAAGTGGCTTTTTTTTTTTTTTTTTTTTGACTACCATTACAGACATTGTCCACAATAATTGATTCTCACGTGTTATTGCCTTGTTTATATTCTACATTTTTACTCATCCTTTTTCATTTTCATTTTGCCTTGTTTCCTCAATTACTCTTGTTGACACCTTAAAGAAAGAATGAGCCCATGTCATAATTTTCTCTTATTCTCCTCAGCAAAAGAAAGGAAAAAAAAAAAAAAACTGGAATGTAACTCAGTGGTGGAGTACTTCTGGATTCAGTCCCCAGTACTAGGAGGAAAAACAATAACCCTGATTTGGATGATAAATTATATGTTCACACTAGACAGAATTGGAGGAATGCTTTCATAAGATTAATGATTAACAATGATTGGCAGCGTGGTTGGAAGGGAAGTGAGTAATCAACAGTAGTAGATCACAGAAGGTGGTGGCATTGGGAAACAAGGTCTTCATGGGATGTGGAGTGGGAAAATGGTAAAGCTACTTATAGCAATAGAATGGCCTGCAGAAGCTGACTTGGACAGTGGATGGCAGCAGAGGGCTGCTTATGTATGCTGCTGGTACAGTATGGTCCTGGTGGAGGAATCTTCTTCCACCAAGTAATTTGTATTCAGTTTATGTTGAACATACTATCAGTTATTAGAGTAAAATATAAAACAATGTGAAACATTAAGAAAATATTTAGGTTATGTCTTTTAGACACTGGATGCCACTGCAACTTCATTTTGATTATTGCTATAAAGGTGAAACTTAAAATATTGGGCTGGGGATGTGGCTCAAGTGGTAGCGTGCTCGCCTGGCATGCGTGCGACCCGGGTTCGATCCTCAGCACCACATACAAACAAAGATGTTGTGTCCACCGAAAACTAAAAAATAAATATATATATTTAAAAAATATATATATAATCATCTGAAGTTCCTTGGGATAACTACTATTTCCATAGATTGGTCCCTGCCATGCCTGCCTCTGAATTCCCTCAATATTTGGGAGCCAGAAGCCGGCAAGTCAGGAATTTTTACTTATTGGGTAGACTGTGTGAGGTTAGTCTTTTATTTTCTGACACTTGGGGTAGTACTGGATTGACCTCACATTTCCTTCACTTCACAGGAGAACCTTGTCCTAGATAGAGGAAGTGTATCTGCTTATGATTTCTTTGTCCCCACTCAGAGAAAGGTGGGATTCATCCCTATGCTCTGATTCTAATACCAAATACCACTTGGTATTTCAGCTGGAAGGAGATGTGGCTGCAGGATTATTGGCAAGGTCTGGACCAGGGAGAAGCTCTCACTGCCATGATCCACAACAATGAAACTCAGAAGAGTAAATTTTGGGATTACCTGCATGAGATCTTCATGAAAAGGAACCAAAATCTCTAACTGCCCTTGTAAGAGCTTTTTACTTGGAAGATCTAAGGAGATCTTATTTTATCATGGCATACTTTCTTTTTTCTTTTTTCAGAGACAAGGGCTTACTGCATTGCCCAGGTTGGCCTTGAATTCTTCCTGCCTCAGCCTCCCATTTAGCTGAGACTAAAGGCACATGCCATTGTGCCCAGACAAACATTCTCTTATCATGGATTTAGTTATCTTAATGATGTGTTACCAAGGTCTCAACATGTGGTAATAGGTCTCCAGGAGAGATGGAGGCATCCAGTTCTTGGTTCATTGGGAAACAGAAGCCTAAAACACCCATTTGACACAAGGTGCTGGCCCAAAAGAGTTTTTAAAGGACTGTTCACTTCTCTAGCTCTTTCATCCTCTCAATTTTGAGGTAAGATGGGCCAGGTTACTTCTTAAAATTTCTATTCTATTTCCCAAACTCTTCCTTATTCTGTACCTTTCCCAATAATCTCTTTTCCTCATCTCTTGCTTTATGAACTGTTAAGCTGGTAGGGAAGCAAAGCTTCTGGTGTGTTTTATTCTGGTTTTCTGAGGAAGTTTTTGTTTTGTTTTGGTTGAGTCAGGATCTCATTCTGTTGCCTGAGCTGGTCTCAAGTAAACCTCTTATCTCAGCCTATAAGTAGCTGGGACTACAGGTGCACACCACTGTGTCCAACTCTTGGGGCCATATTTTTCATATTGTTACATTACTTTTCACATCAGATAGTTTATTTTAAATGGCCTTTTTCTAGTTTTAGGTTCTTTCCCACAATTTCAGATGGAGATACATAAACCTTGCCATCACTTTTTTACTGCTGGTTTGTTTTTAGGGTACATCTGGAATTCTATTTCATTTCATGAACAGATTTAGTAGCTGATACATGCAATGTCAATAATGTACTGCTCTGATCTATTTTATTTATTTATTTTTTTAATATTTTATTATTTTTTAGTTTTCGGCGGACACAACATCTTTGTATGTGGTGCTGAGGATCGAACCCGGGCCGCACGCATGCCAGGAGAGCGCACTACCGCTTGAGCCACATCCCCAGCCCTCTGATCTATTTTAGATCAAAGATGGAGACTAAAGTTGGAAATTACAGCAGAAAAAGTTGAATAGCCCAACTATTCCATACAGCTTTGTGGACAGAGAATTACTGTTAGATGGAGCACACCCAAAGCCCTAAACTCAGAGATGAAGAGGCAAGGCAAGAAATTTAAGCCACCACAAGTGGCTGGCTAAATAAAAACCTTAGATTTAGGGATGCAGCCAAGCCCTTCTATTCCTGTGGCTCAAACAGATAGTCTAGTGAGTAAGGAGACCATGAGCTTTCCCTGGAGTAGTGGAACAAAAAAGAATACTTTGGATATTAGAGCAACTCTGGTTGTAATATATTAGCAAATTACCACTGGAGAAGTTCTGTAGCTTATCAGTATATCTGATTATAAAATTATATATGTCCATATCTATATGTAGATAGGGAGATATATATGCATGTTAGATGCTTCAACAACTAGGTCCATGTTTAACATTGTAGCATCTGTGGATGTGATCAAGAAAAACTGTAATTTAGGCTGTATTTCATTGCCAAGGTTGTTTTTTTTTTTTTTTTAAATGGTGCTGAGGATTGAATCCAAGGCTGCGAACATGCTAATAAGCATGAGTTCTGCCTCTAAGCTACACCTCCAGCCCTTCATTTTACACTTAAAATGATAAAAGATGTCCTTTATCATAGTAGGAAAAGTTTTCATAACCTGTTTTGTCTCTTGCAGAAAAGAACAAAAAAAGACCTTCAAAAATACATCTGTTAAAATTTGATATAGTTGGCACCCATAAAAAACACACACAGGACTCTGATTTCTAAGCTTGCAATCTGTTTCAGTGCAGATGCTGATTCACATTGCAAAATACATATTGCATAAGTGCAAACTTAGGTTAGAACTCAGATTGCATTCTGTGCAATAAAAAGGGTAAGTGATGGTTATGCAAGAAGTAGAATAATCCCTACCTCTCCTAACTGCCAGTTCACATTAGCATTCCTTTAGCACTTTTATACACAAAGTAGGCCATTTGTTTTTGAATGGTTTGCTGAAGACTCAGGCCTGCTTTGTGCTCAGGTCTTCCCAGACTTTCTTCCCTATTCCTTTTAACCATGTAAGTATTCACAAAAAGCAGGGTAAATCAGGTGCTATGTTTCTATATGGGAAAAACAAAAACAAACAAAAAACTACTAGGAATGGCACCCTGGTACTTATCAATTAAAAGTTTCACTTTCCCTATGGAGAAAGCAAGCAATGTTAATTTTTTTGTGGTTTGGGGCCCAGCTTGCTGTGTATACAGCAGCAGTATATTTGCTGCAGGCTGTGCTTACTGATGGTAGAAGTGCCTGGTAGGAATCTTTCTTATTTACACTGTGCTCTACTGTGGGGGTAGAGCACAAGGCTAATGTCTTTATTCCTGCAAGTGTTGCTATTTTTATTATCTCAGGTTTCATTTTGTATAATAAACTGCTTTTTAAACAATGTCTTCTGCTTAGTTACTTTTTGGGTTTGGGCATGATACAGTTGGAGACTTATAAAAATATTTCAAATGTGTTCTTTTAAGAAGTATTAACACTATTCTATGCACTGGAGATTCAGCAAAGATGATACACAAACAAGACTCCTTCTCTCATAGTGCTTACATTTTAAAATGGATGTTGCAGATAGATAAGGCCATGAACAAAAATAAGCTCAGACTATGACAGGTGCTCTGAAGAAACAGGTTGATGGTGATGGGGTGTGAGAAGTGAGGGAAGGTTCTCTGACATGAACAGACTGAAGGGAAGAAACCCAGCCATGCAGATATCAATGGGAAGATTCTAAACATCTGTGATAAATGATTTTAACACAAATTTACACATCGAAGTAAATACTGCTCCTCCAAATTAGTCATCACATGAACTAAAGACTTGTTCAAAATATACTCCTTTTATAGAAACATTTCTTGGAGCTCATTTGGAAATGCCATAAGAATTCCTGGCACATCTTTGGGCTGAATTTTAGGTCGTTAAGAACTGAATCTGAGCCAGGTGCGGTGGCGCACGCCTGAAATCCCAGAGGCTTGGGAGGCTGAGACAAGAGATCCGAAAGTTCAAAGCCTATCAGCATCAGTGAGGTGCTAAGCAACTCAGAGAGACCCTGTCTCTAAATATAAAGTACAAAATAGGGCCGGGGATGTGGCTCAGTGGTGGAGTACCGCTGAGTTCCATCCCCGTACTAAAATATAAATGAGAACGAAGTCTGGGGGTGGGGTTGTAGCTCAGTGGTAGAGCGCTTGCCTAGTACGTGTGAGGCACTGGGTCCACTTTGCACCGCATATAAATACGTAAAATAAAGGTCCATTAACAACTAAAGACATAAAAAAAACAACAACAAAAAACTACGTCTGATGCATCACAACTAAAAAAGTCCCAGTCTATAAATACTATATGGTAGCTTCAACAGGACTGATGAGAGGATTAAAGATGAATGTGTAAGCGTTTAAACCTTACCCCACCCAATGGGATCCTTACAAAGGAGTGAGCGGTATTGTTACAAGATAAATGAGCTTAATTTTTCTTTGTGGCTTCAGAGAGGTACTAAAAGTAAAAAAACAGTTCCTGAAGGTTTGTTAAAAACATCTTTTTCCACCTAACATCTTTTTTTTTTTTTTTTTTTTTTTTAAGGAGAAAGAAATTTTATTGCTTTGCTTTGCTAGCAAAGGAGAAAAGAAACACAGGGGACTCCTATCTCTCATCGGGTATTTTTCGCAGCATTGGGAATTGATCCCAGGGCCTTGGCGCATGCTAAGCAAGCGCGCTACCACTGAGCTATATCCCAGGGACCTAACGTCTTAAAGACTCACATTTTATTTCGCTCCTCTCTTTTATCTTTGTACGCGTCAATCACCCTCTAGACTAGTCAGCCACCATCAGAAACGAGTGTTTATAAGGACCCTTTCCTGTAAGACCACGGTCCCCAGAGAGGAGTGGCTCGTCTCCTAACCTGCAAACGTGTATAGATCCGCAGGCTTTCGAACCCAGAGCTGTTGTTGCGGAGGCCAGAAAAAGAGATGCACAGCGAGCCTGGACTAGCCAGTAGGGGTCACGCGAGGTCACGCACGACGCCGCGGAGCCTGCCGGGAGCGCAGTACACAATGGCGACTCCCAGTCTGCGAGGTCGCCTGGCGCGGCTTGGGAACCCCCGCAGGCCTGTACTGAAGCCCAATAAACCCCTCATCCTAGCTAACCGAGTTGGAGAGCGGCGCCGGGAGAAGGGCGGTGAGCAATCGGAGCCTGGGAGGCCCCGGAACGGGAACCGGAGTGGGGTAAGGACGGTTGGGTAGGAGGGCGGGAAGATAGGTCTCTTTGTGACTGAGAGTCCCTCAGTTCTTCCCCTCCAGAGGCGACCTGTATCACGGAGATGTCGGTCATGATGGCTTGCTGGAAGCAGAATGAATTCCGCGACGAGGCGTGCAGGAAAGAGATCCAGGACTTCTTCGATTGTGCTGCAAGGGCTCAGGTGACAGCTCCTAGGGATCCTTCTCAAGAAAAGAACAGGGGGATGGATACAAATAGTTCTCCATGCTTTTTGCTAGGTGATGGGAAAGGTCCTCTCTTTAATTTGTGATCTGCTTTACGCCAAAGTGACAAAAATAACAGTTGAACGATTTGTTTCACTTCTCTGAACTTTAGTTTTACTGTCAATATTAGAAACCACGTTGTAGAATTTTGAGAATGTCAAAGAAGTAATGAATGGAAAAATCACCTGAGCAAATTTAAATTGCTGCTTAAATAGATTGTTGAACTTATCTAAGGACAGTTTGGTTTCCAACTTGGATTTAACCTCTAGTTTTTTGGTACCAGAGATTGAATCCAGGGGCACTTAGCCATTGAGCCATCCCCAGCCCGCCCGCCCCCCCCCCCCCCCCCCCCCGTTTTTTAAAATTTTGATGCAAGGTCTTGCTAAGTTGTTGAGGCTGGCTTTGAACTTGTGATCCTTCTGCCTCAACCTCCCAAGTTGTTCGGATTACATGGCACGTGGCACCTGCTAGCTTTTCTTTTTCTTTCTTTCATGGTCCCTGGGATTGAACCCAGGACCTTGTGCATGCAAGATAAGCACTCTACCAACTGAACTATATCCCTAGCCTACAACTGCTAGCTTTTAATAGTAGCTTCAGGTCATAGTTACTTGTAGGTCCCAAGTCCCTTTTGTTGAAAGCTGTTTACACAAGTGTCTCTGGATTGGTTAATACCTTAGTGTACTTCGGAGCATTGAAAAATAAAAACTATGTGCCTAGGGCATACTTTAGAATTGTTATTGTTTTTATTCTGTTTTTAGGAAGCACGAAAAATGAGATCAGTCCAGGAGACCATGGGAGAGTATGGGAGTTTACCTCCCAAGAAATTGAATAAATTATTACAAAGGTTTCCTAACAAACCTCATCTCAGCTGAAAGTGGAGAAGCATTTTCAATGATTGGACTATCACTTCTGAACACTGTGCAGAGGCATTTTAGAGATGTTTGCACTGTCATGCTCTCTTCCAAGGGTAAAATGAGGTGATACCCTTTTTTTTGCACTTTGGAGTTACAGTCTACATGGAAATTATGGTTTATCTTGAAATAAAATTCTCTGAAGAGAAATTGGCCTTTTGTTGTGAACTAGATACTCTTTTTCTTTGTATGTGTGTGTGTGGGAGGGATGGAACCCAAGGCCTCTGGAATTCTAGGTATTGTACCAGTGAGCTATATTCCCCAGACTTCTCTCCTTTCTTGAATCCTATATTCTCTCTTAGTTCCAGGAAGGTCTTTTCTTCCCGATTTGCCCTAGGGTGGACAAGATGTCTTTTTCTGCCTTAGAATCCTTTATACCATTTAGTGCTTTTGCTTTGGTTACTAAGAATGTTGAAGTTTGCCCATACGTAGAGCTTTTTGCCATCATCTGTATTTAGTGAGTGCTTATTTTGTGCACAGCCCCTTCAAGGTCCTCCCTTAATGAAGTTCACAAACTGGTGATCCAGAGGTTCTTCAGATATATTTTATGTGGTCCATGTAGATAAAAACATGTTTTTAAATTACCCGATCTCATTCAAAAATAGAAAAAAATCCATTTTTAGCCACTGTTTTAAAAAAAGTCAAAAAGCTCTGGCAACTGTATTTCCTTTTTTTACTTAGCAATAACCAGATGGAGCTGATTATTATTTGTCCTGATATTCCAGTGACCTCCCACTAGACTCTTTCAGATGGTGAAATAGGCTTGATTGACAATCATCTTCTGTTGTATTGCCTGTTCGGTTTTCTCAAGTTACCAAAGGTGTTTATTTTTGTAATCTCCTGGTATTTAGGAACAATTGCACATAGCACTTTATGTGTATTCTGGTCTTTCAGGTATAATTGAGTTAACCTTTTCTATGTACTTTTTAGTAATGAATGAAGGACAAAGTGATCAGTGGAGTTTTTAATGTTCCAGTGGGATAATTATTAAAGAGGGGTCTTTCCTCTTTATCCCCCAGTACCTATTCACATACTCCTTGTATTTCATGTCTAGAGCACTGTGCCTACTGCCTAGTTCTGCAAGCTAAGCCTTCTAGCTATACGAGGCCCTTTGGACTAGATTTAGGAGATTTTTGTGTTTGTTTTGTTTTTGAGTTGGGACTTGAACCAGGAAGTACTCTACTACTGAACTATATCCCTGGCCCCAATCATGGTATTTTCATACCATATTACAGTTTATTAAAAATATCTCAGAATGATCCAGGTGTGATGGTGTACTCCTGTATTCCCAGCAACTTGGGAGGCTGGGGCAATAGGATAAGTTTGAGACCAACCTCAACAAATTAGCAAGGCCCTAAGCAACTTGTCACAAAAAATAAAAAGCCCTGGGGATGTAATTCAGTGGTAAAGCACCTATGGGTTCAATTCCCAGTATACAATAAATAAATAAAACTCAAATGTAATTTATACTCATTTATTAGCTTCAAGATTATAGTAGTTATATCTTACATTTATTGTTTTGTTTTTGTTTTTGTTTTTGAGTGTGTGTGTGGTGCTGAGAGAGGACCTTGCCCATAAAGGCAAGCATTGTACCACTGAGCTCCACCCCTAGCTGGATCTTGTAATTTAACATGTAAATAAAGAAGCATTATTATGTTACAAATTTGTTTCAATAACTTTTTTTTTTGGTGCTGGGGATTGAACCCAGGGCCTCCTTCAGACAAGGCAAGCACTCTACCAACTGAGCTACATCTCCAGCCTTCATTATTTTGATAATTGTATTTAATCATAATTTGTTTCCTTTGTAAAATTCTTGTTTTACTTTATGCATTTGTAAACAGTGAGAGGAGGACCGTGGACTTCACCAGATTGCTAAACAGTCTATAACACAAAGATTAAGAATTCCTGGACTGAGGGGCTGGGGGGTACAGCTCCCTGGTACAGTGCTTGCCTAGCATGTGTGAGGCACTGGGTTCCATCCTCAGCACCGCATAAAAATAAATAAAGGT